GATAGATAGATAGATAGATAGATAGATAGATAGATAGATAGATAGATAGATCCTGTGGGTGCCTGTTCTGTCCCTGTGAGTTTCCTAGTTGGGTACCATAAACTGTTATGCAAAGAAGCTGCTGCTTGCTAGGGAAAGCTGGGTGAAGAGGACAAACAAGTTCCATCCTCGTTCTTCAAACAGCATGCGACTCCCCAAATACGTTCAAATAAAAAGTATAACAAGAGTCCATCATCACCATTTTACTCCCTCAAGACCACCCCACTGTGCTGATGTTTGAAAGGAACTACAGAGAGAAATTACCATCTTAGGTCCACTGGATCGTGCAAACCTTAAAAGTGGCCCAGAGAATCACAGAAGTAAATGGATGGAAAGCTGGGAGACAAAAGGAGTTATGGGCAGGATTTTTCTGTCAGCAGACATGGAGCAGTGGGGCTCGCAGCATCCCTGTGCCTCTAGCTTGCATCTCCCTTCAGTGGCTACGCCTCTAGCCAACCACCTGCTGCACAGTCATATGCTTTTAGACAAGAATTATTTAAACCTTGTATTTGGTTGGTCATTGTGCCAGTTTCTGAGGCTAACCCAAGCATGCTGCCCTTGTTTCCATTTCATTTCTTTTCTCATCATCTGGCCTTCCCCTTCCTTCCCAGAAATTCTTAAGATCATTGACTTCACTGACGGAAGTCAGGCTTCTGACCAACTAATAAATAAGTTCACTAGTGAAAAGCCTATTTTTCATTCTGTTTAATTACAGGCTTCAAAGACACTCAAAATGGAGGCTGTCTTAGACACAAATAATACTGTAGGCTTGGTTTACTTTTCTCCTGTTGGCCTTGGCACCGAGCCCTTCCTCTCCTTTGAAATTCATGGCTGTGTCTGTGTCTGCATACTAAACAGACCATGGCTACCAACGAGCCTTCGTCTCCTGTCCAGATGCTGCGCAAATAATCCAGAAGTCTTAATGGCAAGTTCAGAGCTGGAGTTTAGTTAACTAATATGGTCTATTTGTTTCTGATGTAATCTATGTATGTGATCATAAATGGGTTCCTATATAGTTGTTCAAATTGAATTCGGTAAACAATCATTGGATTTAGGCTGCAATATGCTTCTGAATTCTTGATGTTTGATTTCAGATTCGGCCCGTTGAGTACAAATGCATAAAACACTTGAATGACATATAGATACTGTAAAATGTACACATAGCAAACAGACAAGAAGCTAATGGTGGAAGTCAAGTTTTCTCTTCCACACTTCTTTTCTTGGACTCCTGCTCTCATTTGCAATCACTTTTGACAATGTATGCCATGCACATTTTGTGAATACAGAAGCGTATGCAGCAGATTTTAGACAGAAAAAAAAATACCCTAACTATGCCTTCCTTTTTGTATAAAAGAAAGTAACATGGTATAGGCAAAGTCCTATCATTTGTTCATTCTGTTTAAAATATAACACTTAAAGCCCTCTATATACCACTTTCTGTGTCTGCCTCATGTATAAAATCAGTTCCTGGAAATAACCATGATAGCCTCCTGCTGTTCTGCTGCGTGGAAGTGCCCGTTTGTGTGTGATCATGTCGATGTGCATTTGGTGCTTTAGTGAGCAGCATTTCAGGTGACTTTGTACACCATGTGTAGCTTTAAACAATGGAAAGACATGGGATGAATTCTAGAAAAGTAGAGTCTTAGCCAAAGGGTGCTTTTCAATTTAGTAGATATTGTCCAAGAATTACCTTCTGTCATGTTTAATTACATATGAAAAGAGATATCTATTTATCTACTCCTCATTGTATTTTCAAAATTTAAATATTCTAATCTGAGCATTGTAGACTCAAGGTTGGAGTCAACCCCTATTCAAAATAATGTGTAGGAAAAGAAGAGCAAAGATGATCTGGAAAGCATAGAAAATTGAATCAATGTTTCCATGTACAAGATGATATTAAAAAAAGAAGAAAGAAAGAAAAACCTCATATGTTCCCTGGAATAAAACATGCGCTTGAACGCTGAAAGTTATTCAAACAGCCAGCTGGCTTTGCAGGTCAGCATTTAAAAGCCTTGACAAACAGTACCACGGTTCTGACCTTAAACTCCTTGAGCTCCTAGTACCTGTGAGCATGCAGCTAACATTCCGTCCCTGGATGCCCTTTCTTGGTCACATAGTCTGTCATTAATGCACACTGAGGCAGGACACGTAGCATAGGGCAGCTTACACATTGTGAGAGCGTTAATCAGGGTGAGCAAGGTACCGTATCTGGGCAGATCATTTGTTTTTAGTATGTCAAGATCCAGTGTTTACCGGGTCGCTTCCAAAATCCCAACCACAGGAACCCTGTGCTTGCCACTCTTCCAGGTAACCATCAATACTTCTGGGAGTTTTCTGAGGTCTCTGAGGGCTTGTTATACTCAGGGTTTGTCCTTTGTGTGATTTAACTACTGCATGTAAATAATTCTCTTCAAGGTGTTACAACCACCAAATGCTTTATATTATTTATTGTTCCAGGAAAGGAAACCAGAGCATTCATGACCTCAAATCTCCTTTCTTTGTTATTTAGCTTCAATGGTACTGAAATAAGTAATGCAAATGTATAATTTGCTTCACTTTGTTATGCTTTGGGGTGTTTTCAAACTCAGAAATGCTGTTGACACAGAGATGCTATGGCTATATTAATTTAGAAAATGTTTCCCAGTCTCTGCAACTCACTGGGTTCTTGAAAGTTTTTCAGTGTTGACTGCTGCAGACAGAACCATTTTAGGGTTTATATGGTTACTCTGTGCTAGCACCTCTTTGTAACCAATAATGGCATCCTTGTATTTCTGTTATTTGAATGCAACACATCTGAAAGATTTAAGTCTGCAGCACATTAAGACCTCTTTTCGCTATTTCATAACAACCTGGGAGCCTGGCAGTTAATGCATTGGCCGTTCAGTGGTGATAATGAGATACCACACACTCCTCGCTCTGGTAAGGCAGAGAAGACTAGGAAGTGACTTGAAAGGGGAATGCTAGCTTAATTTGTTTTATCTGTTAAGCTAGATCCAAAATGGTTGCATCTAATCATAAACAAAGTTTCTTTATAGTCAGAATTTGAATGTTCATTTTCCTCTCGGTTAGTATGCAAATCTCTTTGCAGCATTCTAGCAAAAGAGAATACAACTCATTTTCTGTGCTTATAAATTGTTCATTATCATGCTCTCTAATGGCCAATCCATTGCTCCATCTGGCATAAATACTAGGTGCTGAAAAAAGGCACATTTGGGATCGAGGGAGAAGCACACCTCTCATACAAAATCCCCAAGCCTATCACTTAAAATTGTGTAATGTCTTATTAGTACTTATATTTACATGTGACAGTCTGGGAAAAAAATATAAATGCTCCAACTCGCCTTATCCACCCTCAGTGCTGCACATAAGGGATGTCTGCAAAGTCTTATCATTGTACAAAAGAGACCCAATTCATAGAGTCGAAGGAGCACACAAACACGGTCTCTAGAAAGAAACACCTCTTTTCTTGTGATTATGGGTGTGAAATGTTGTAGCCTCTGAGGTTTGGCACCGAGGAGGACTGAGATAATTTTGTTAGAATGCTTAGGGTTTGGGCCTTTCAAAAGTTATTTTTTTTCCTCTTTGATAAAGAGGTTTTATTTTATCCCCACCCAAAAGAAACAGGAATATCATGTGACCATAAGTCAACTTCGGTAATTAAAGTCACCCCTTTTATAGGCATATTTAACTCCTATAAAAGCCTACAGGGTTGACTTCTGTTTCCTCTGACTGGGAAAGTTTTTCGTATGCATAAAAATAATACCAAAACAATGGCCCTCCTGCCTCTCACTAAAATATGAAAACAAAGAAATTCAAGGGTCTCAATCTCTCTAGCTCAAGCAAAATCTACAGAGAAAACAAAATGCTGTTCAGATCCATCTCCTGTAGGATGCAGGGATGCAGGGGAACTTCAGTAGATCTTCTGCTCCTGTTGAGTTTAAGAATCTACCCAGAGATTTTTTTTTTCAATTAAAACACTATGTACCAACAATAAACTATGCTGCAAAGCTTTTAATTAAAAAAAAAATGTAAGACCCTGGCTCCAGGCACTGCTTTCATTAAAGAATTAGTCCAATGAAATGTTTGGATTTTATTGTTCTAAATATGTGTTTCAGCTGGTGCTCTCAGATCTATCCTGTGAAGAAAATGAAATGTAAGTAAATGACAAGATATTCTTTGATTCGATTTTGTTTTTCAAGACAGAGCCCTGGTTATCCAGGACTCGATTTGCAGAACAGGTTGGCCTCAAACTCCTAGAGATCTGCGTGCTTCTGCCTATGCCTCTGGGTGCTGGGACCAAAGGCATGAGCCACCATATCCTGCTATTTATTTAGAATTTGAAATACTCAAAGAACAAGACTCAAGACACTTGAAAGCCCCAAAGATACTCACGTTAAAAAAAAAATCAGGAAATGTAATTGCCGTTATGATCATTTTATTGAATAAGTAAAGGATCTCTGGGCATTTAGGCTTTGGTTTCTCCTCTTGTGAAGTTTCTATGGTTGTTATGGCATATAAGAATTGTAATGTCTTCTTCCCTTGCCCCCAAATGCATTAGTGCTGTGATTTCAAGGAAAAGTTTCAAAGCAGTTCATTTTCAAATATTATCAAATGAATGCACATTTTACCCTGTGTTATGCGTGTGTTTCAAAGGGCATTGGATGCAAGTTATGTGAATAATTGCTTCATTTCCTTACTTTTTGAGACTTAATTGTTCTCAGAATTCTAGTCGGGAGATGAGAAGGTGCCATTAATAACGCTGATGATGATGGATGGGACCAGTAATACAGTGTGACCGAGTGCAAGTGTCAGAAAAGCACTTCTGCCAAGCGCTGTGCGCTGGGTGAAGCACTCTGCCAGCCAGCTGTTTTCAATTACCATTGCCTCATCCTCTCAGACCCCTGTTGGTGGGCAGCGCTTCTGAAGCAAGAGACAGGGCAGTCCTTAGAATCCTCAGCTAGCCTTGGAATCACGCACTGTTGCTGAGCATTTTGTAGACAGTCTGTTAGTGTGAGTTGCTCTTTCAGCGTTTGCACGCCTTTCCACTGCTGCTCCTTTGCATTAAGGTTTGGACCTACTACTGTGCTTTGTCTTCTGCACTTGTCTGAGCAGTTTTTCATAGTGTTTACGTGACTCTGAACTTCAAGGCTGCCCAAATCTTGCCTCTTTATTTTCTGCCTGTGACATGGAACAATAGACACCTATGACTGGGATGAGGCTTAAAAATTGACTCTCCTATCCAGCCATTATGACAAGGAAGGGTGGAAGTGGAAGGCCTATCAGCTCCCTTAGAGCTTCTGAGACTACTGCTTTTCCTTTATGTTGAAGACAGAGAGGGAAAGGGAAATAGTCAGTGCACAGAATGCTTTTAACCGGTGCTTAGGCATGAGCTTTCTTTGGTAAGTCATTTTACATCTCAGCATCTGTTATATTTATCTTCATTTATTTTCTGTTAAGTAGAAATAAAAAAAAAAACTGCCTTAACTAACATTCAAAATAGTAGGAAAGAAGGGTAGAAAAGACAAGGAAGTAGCTGATATTTTAAGGAACTAATATAAGAGAAGTGAATCCACTGAAGATAGACATAATACTTTACATAAGATGGTGTTAGTTTGATGAGTCTGTAATAAAAGACATACAGAAAGACGTAAAGAAAGAGTCAATGTCCCACATCCAAACAAGAAGATTCTTTTTTTTTTTTCACCTCTCTATCTTGAAGAAGAGTTGGGTTATTTTTTTGTTTTTCTTTTGCTTTGTTTTTTCAAGACAGGGTTTCCCTGTGTAGCCGTGGTTGTCCTGGACTCACTTTGTAGACCAGGCTGGCCTTGAACTTACAGAGATCTGCCTGACTTTGCCTCCCCGAGTGTTGGGATTACATGCATGTGCCACTGCACCTGGCTGAGAGTTTGAAATTAGATCATTCCTATGATCTGAGACCATTGTTCTAAATACATTACCTGACCAAAAGAGTAGAATCATCCATTACCAGTTTTTCGATAAAGTGGTAACACAAACCCACTAAGCAAAAAGATCCATAGACATGCTTAACTCAAAACATCCTTAAGAAATGAAAAGCCTAAGAGAAAAACAACTGGTCCAAAGTTCATATGCAAACAGACACAAAGAAGGAGACTTACGTTTGGATGCAAAGGAGCAAAGGAGGTACAATAACTGGAGAGAGGAAGGCTCTGGTGGAGGCCCTGCTGAAAAGAAAGGGATTATGATCAACCAAGAAGCCATTTTTAAGTGTGTCAACTTTTATGTTCCAAGACTTTCAGAAACAGTTTATACACTTTATAAAGTGATCTTCTATTAGTTTCACTTAAATTTGCATTTGTGATATAAAATACTTTTTTTACATTTTATAATTGCTGAATTTTGAGTGTAATTAATACATTGGTTATATAATGCATTATATAAAATCTACATATTTTATATATGTATGACATAAAACATGTTACAGCCCTCTTTCATTATAGTTATACTTTTAATCCACTCCTCCCCCTATACGTGGCTAATTATGCTGTCAAAGAGCACAAAGTGATTTACAAAATATAAATATGAATATATACATATATATGACCTTGTAAATTAATTACATGAATACATTTTCTAATGAGATGTCTACAACTTGCTTGGCTCAGCGGGTTAAACATTTTGTTTAATATTAGGAAAAAAGTTAAGGAATGATGGAGAATACCTATAATCTTAGAACTCGGAGGGGAGGCTGGGGTATAAAGATCCCACTCCAAGGCTAGCCTGGCCTACATAATCAGTTCAAGGCCAGCCTAGGATAGGCGGTGACACCCTGTCAGAGAAAGCATGGACGTAACTAAATAAAGTAAGAGAGTAAATACGCAACGCTCAGATATGTACCCAGAATTTTTACAGCAAAGATAGAATCATATCCAACTTTTAATTCAATTTTTTTAACACACTTGGTGAAATAACTGAGAGAGAAACAGTCTGTGCTTTTTGTAGAAACCATGCAATTTACAGTCAAGTTCTAGATGACGTGATTTGCTCCTCACCCACTTCCAAATGATTATAGTTGGATTGCACATTGGCTCATGTTGAGAAATTATTTTTCGAAAGAACAAAACCCATGGAATCTGTTATTTTACTTCTTCTAAGAATATTACAATGACGTTTGTCGTGTTAGCAGAATTTTCTTCAGGCTTCTATACAAGGAGCAGTTGTACGGTTGAGCAGCAATGCTCTCTGCTGTGTTCCTCTGAATATGACTTTCTTTCTTTCCTTTTTTTTAAAGGTGGGGAAGCTTAGGCAGTGCCAGAGACTGACCCCACTGTTCTATGTGAGATTCTCTGCATTCAGCCAGCAAACTGATGTCACTCTTAGCCTATTTTCTTTTCAGATAGTCTCCCTGAACTTGCCTCTCAATTCTTTCCCAGCATTTCTTTAAAGCCTTTTGGAACAGAATTCTGGGCGCAGACTCCATATGGAAATATGAAGCCCGAGGTTCCAGCTTGCAGCATCACAGGGTGCTAAGGAAAAAAAAAGACTCCATTGCCAGATCATTTCTACGTATGCTCTCGAGTCTTCCAAAAAAAGCTATGCCACACACGTCATTTCACCCACCACTGAGTTTTCTCAGTTTTAGAGAAGCAGGGCACGACTCCCTCCGTATGTCGCCGGAGTTTGAAAGTAAAGAATGCCACACGAAGCTATGCTAAGCACCTGGTCCGTAACAGTTTGCACTGCAGGAAATGCAGGATGGTGGCGGCAGAGGAGCAGCACAGTGGCGCTCCAGGTTTCTGCTTGTAGTCACCACATTAACAAATCTGCAACTTCAGTCCGTAGATTTACAGCACACAGAGGAACAGTAAGGGTCAGGCTAGCCATCTGGGTAAGCAGGAACCAATTCCACGACATCCATATGAAGAAGGGCCTAGGTGCTCTGGCACACGCTGCATTTCCTTGGACATGTACCTGCAGAGAATTCTAATCATTGCCAATGTTTCCTCAAGTTTAGTAGTAACTCTTACTTTCCCCCACATCTTTCCTTTTTTCTTGAAAAATTCCAATTACATATTTTATTTAATATCCGTACATAAATACACTGTTTGAGTCCAGTCTACCCTTCCATTTCTTCTCCCACCTTTCCCTCCCAACTTCTCTCACTTCCTCTCTCATGATGTCTGTGGCTCCTTCATACTCACAGAGTTCATTTGGTTCTGCCTGTATGTGCACGGGTATGGGCTTTTTTTCTGGGGAGTGAGCTGCCTCTGGGGGCCTGCATGCCTGAAGAAAAGTGACTCTTTAACTCTTCTTCTTCAAGTAGCTAACAACTGTCACTAGCTTCTCCCAGGGTATGGGGCTTCATGAGCCCATCCCCTCTCCATGCTGTGAACTTGTCTGGCTTCAGCATTTTGTAGGTTTTGTACATGCAGTCCCAGGCATGCACAAGTGAGTTCATGCGTCCAACTGCCACTCCGTCAAAATGTTTCGTTACAGACATTCACTCTCTCTGGCTCTTACACTCATGTCATTGTTATTGTTTGGTTGGTTGGTTTTGTTTTGTTTGCTTGTTTGTTTTTCTTTTCTTTTCTTATTTATTTTTTTATATTAATCACAGCTTATTTACTTTGTATCCCAGCCATAGCCCCCTTCCTCATTCCCTCCCAATCCCATCCTTCCTACCTCATCTTCTCCCTGTCCCTTTCCAAGTCCACTAACAGGGGAGGACCTCCTCCCCTTCTATCTGACCCTAGCTTATCAAGTCTCTTCAGGACTGGCTGCAATGTCCTCTTCTGTGGCCTAGCAAGGCTGTTCCTCCCGCATGAGGAGGAGGGAGGGTGTGTGTGGAAGAGCTCGCTATTGATTTCATGTCAGAAATAGTCCCTATTCTCCTTATTAGAGAACCCATTTGGACACTGAGCTACCATGGGCTATATCTGAGCAGGGGTTCTAGATTATATCCATACATGGTCCTTGGTTGGTGAAACAGTCTCACTAAAGACCCCTGTGCCCTGATATATATGGTCCTTGTGGTGCTCCTGTCCTCTCCAGGTCTTACTAACTCCCCCTTTTTACATATGATTCCCTGCACTCTGTAGAAGGTTTGATTATGAGTCTTAGTATCTGCTTTGATACACTGCTAGGTAGTCTTTCAGAGGCCCTCTGCGGTAGGCTCCTGTCCTGTTACTTGTTTTCTCCTACATCCAATGTCCATCCCATTTGTCTTTCTAAGTGAGGATTGATCATCTTACCCCGAGTCCTCTTTCTTGTTTATCTTTAGATGTATAGATTTCAGTATATTTATCCTATCTTATAGGTCTATGTAAGTGAGTATATACCATGTGTGTCTTTCTGCTTTTGGGATACCTCACTCAGGATGATCGTTTCTAGGTCCCATCATTTGCCTGCAAATTTCTTTTGTTTGTTTTTCAAGATGGGGTTTCTCTGTATAGCCCTGGCTTCCCTGGAACTTGTGGACCAGGCTGGCCTCGAGAGATCCACTTGCCTCTGCTTCATGAGTGCTGGGACTGAAGGTGCGTGCCGGCACTGCTCCTATACTCTTTGCACCCTTCCCCTTCCATGATGATCCCTGAGCCTTGGGGACACAGATAGGATACAGCTACCTGTTGAAACCTGTTCACTGCACAGCCTCTTTCTTTGAAAGTTGACTGGTGGTTGGTTTAAGACTAACATCAGCATCCTAGGATGATTATTCTTCAATGATTATTTTTAAGAATACAAAACTTTTCCACTTTGAAATTATTATATTTACAATTTGAGCCATTGATAGGGTAGGCCCTCCTCCCCTTCCATCTGACCCTAGCCTATCAGGTCTCATCAGGACTATCTGCACTATCTTCCTCTGTGGCCTGGTAAGACTGCTCTCTCCTCCCCCTCTCCCTTACCCGGGAAGAGGGAAGGAGGGCCGGATTGGAAGGGGATAAAAGCTGGAATACAAAGTTAAAAAATTGTCATAAAACTTAAAAAAAAACCGAGTCATTATAATATTGCTAGAGTCCATTTAGAACTCAAAAGTTGCTTTTAAAATATGTGATTTGAGAAAGAACTAGAATCCAGGAAGAAGGAAGGGTGCTCCCACAATCAGAAGACCCGTGTTCCAGCTTGATGCTTGCTCCTGAGTAGCTCTGCAGGTTTCTCCTTGAATTCTTCAAGCTTGGAAACTGATGTCCGATCTCACTCTGTATCTCATGTGCATGTGTAAAATGACCAGAATGAAATATATGGTCCCTCAATCCCAGACTTTGTGAAAATACACCATGACTCCTTTCTTCAGTGAAGTTTCCTGACCTTTTGTTTATCAGAATCTCCACCAGGGGGTGCAAAGGGCTGAGAAGGAGAACTGGAAATGAGGCTGGGCATGTGTTATCACCGAAATCTGTCTTGAGTGGCTCAAAGTTGCAATTAACAAATAAAATGAGGTATGCAATATTTATGGTTGACTTTAAGTCATGTGGGCCACCTTCAATGGAAAAGGATAGAGGCAGCAATTTCTATTTGAAGAGGAAATACCTCATATTCCTATCCAGGAGCTTAGAGGTCAAGGATCTAAAACAAGAGTCCGTAATTTGTTCATAGCTTAAGTAACATACTACGTTTTTAAGATTTATGTATTATAGTGCTCTAGAACTTCATGACTACAAAAGATATATATCTACATATATGACCACAAATGCCATATATGTGTGTGTGTGTGTGTATATATATATATATATATATATATATATATATATATATCACAGAAAACTCAAATTATAAAAATATTACACTATCTCAAATGATATTTGTGATAATTTGTTTCTGCTGGAGCCCCTTCTTTGTGGGATGGCTTCTGCTTTCTGTAGATAGTTTGACCATTTGATCTTTCTAGTCTTTCTCTGTGCTCAGCCGCTAATGTGTTCACTGCACGAGGATTAGCACCCGAGGCTACAGAATTGATGATGAAGACATCGTGTTCCCTGTTAAGATTTGCCATTAATTTTTGTTCAAGCTCCTTTGTTGATACCCAACTCTTCTTAGCATCCTTTCTAAACTTACATTTGAGTATCCATTTTTTTTCCAAACTAGTAAAGGATTTATTTTTTTTCTTTTTTCTTTTTTTTTTTGGTATTTTATTTTTTTCTTATCAGTTACATTTTATTAACTCTGTACCCCAGCCTTGTCCCGATCCCTCATTCCCTCCCAGTCCCTCCCTCCCTCCCTCCTCTCCACCGTGCCCCTTGCCAAGTCCACTGATAGGGGGGATCTCCTCCCCATTCATCTGATCCTGTTTTATCAGGTATCTTCAGGACTGGCTGCAAAGCTCTCCTCTGTGACCTAACAGGACTGCTCCTCCCTTGGGAAAAATATTCTCAGCTTCATATGGAGAAACAAAAAACCCAGAATCTCCAAAACAATCCTGTACAACAACAGATCATCTGGAGGTATCTCCATCCCCGATCTCAAGTTGTACTACAAAGCAATAGTAATAAAATCTGCATGGTATTGGCATAAAAACAGAAAGGAGGATCAATGGAACTGCATAGAGTATCCATTTTTTTCATTGCCATCTGTGTTTAGGAACTTTGCTAGCCACTAAGGTTAACCCCTCCCCAAACAAAAACAAACCCATTTCAAGCTCAAAAAAATAAAAAATAAGTCAGATTCTGCCATAGCAAAATATTTTTGTCTTCTATGTTTGGCAAAAGAAAAAAAAATCTTGTCAAACATGACTGCTGACTAGCATATGAGAACACCTGGTGCAGCACATGCTGAAGAATGCTGGGAGCCATCTATTATGAATGTTTTCAAGATGTAAAGCTCGCAGCATCACTTTAATGTTGACTGAAGATTGCACGACCAAAAAAAAAAAAAAAAATCTCCATTTCAGAAGCTGCTCAGGCTCTGCCTCTGATGACTGGTACCATTGTGTGCTCTCAGGATACCATGACAGCATCAGTGTATGGAGGTCTGAAAGAGGTCCCTTTGCAATCAGCCTACCATGCTACCCAGGGTAGAGAGGCACTCGTGAGTTGAAGGACACGGGCATTTTCACACCATAGAAGTTAATTCCTCAGATTATAAACCCTCCCTAGAAAATTTGGATTAGAAAGGGCTGTAGTCTGGAGATATAAAAAAGCAGAATGAGAATGTGGGAATGATTATCATGTAATGCTTCTGACATTATGACTTTAAGATGTTCCTCGCTTACATCTCCATGCTTAAGAATACCTACTTTTAGAATCAAAGCTATTAAAATAAAGTATTTTGTTTGCGCATCTAGTGGTTTCAAATTCACCTGTCTTCTTGGTACCTTGAATGAACTAGACATAAGGTAAATGTTCATTTAATATATTTGGAACAGGTCTGCAAGGAATGAGCAGGTGGGTATTCTGGGAAAATAAATGTGTTTCATATAGAGTTTAAAGTCCCAAAGAATAGTCTTTAGAGTTCTAGAGTTAGATGTTTACTGCTCTTTCTTTATTACCAGGTGTGTGAATTATGATGAACAACATCTCGATGGTTGGTATATCTGGTAAGACTCTCTTCAAATTGTTTTATAAAACACGTGGTTGTCTATGCACACTTGTCCTCCTAAGTAATTTGAAACAACAACATCCATCAAATACTGTTTAATTACATACATTCAGTCCCCCTGGCTCTTTACACATTTTCTGCCTCCCTCCATTTCCATGATGACCTCCAAGCCTTGGGGACATGGGTTTCATATACCTGCCCCATTTAGATCTGTGCACTTTGTAGTCTCTTTATTTACAACTCAACTGGTGAATTGGTTTAAGACTGACATCAGCATCGTAGGGATACATACAGCTGAAGAGAAATTTAGAAGAGTGTGAGTCAACATCCACAGAAATGTCTGTTTCAGGACAATGTTTGCTAAGTGCCTCGTATGATAATCTACTGTTTTTAAGACTCAGAATTTATTCTATAGTTAGAGTTTGGTTAATGATAAAATAATTGTTCCCTCTTAAAACCTTTCTAAATGGTTCCTCGCTTCTGGTTTCAACATAGCCAAATGTATATTTAATGAGATACTCTTCCAGAAAATTTAAAACCGTTCTTCTAATTCCCTAAATCAAAACTTTCATTTTTTTCTAAACTCAACATTAACCAATTCTGTTAATAAAACATTAAGTTCCTCAAAGGAAGAGACCCTATCTTCTCTACCTTAAATCCTTAACACCAATATTTCCAACATGTGCATATGTTTAAATACCAGTTGAACAAGTGGATAGGATGGCGAATAAAAAGAAGGAACAGAGGGGGAAAAGAAGGAAGGGGAGAGGGAGAGAGTGACTTCACCTTTTAGATAACCCTCTAGTTTTCAAGGAACAAATGATTATCACCAGTTTTCAGCACCAGTTTTTCCTGAGGACCTCCAGGTTTATTGGAGATATAGGTGGATAGAGGATCACTCCAAGAACTTGGCATTCCAGCGTGCATTCCAGTTTGCTTGCACTTAAGATAGCTGAGACCCTGTAAACTTCCCAGACAGTGACAAAAACTAATTCCTATTTGCTCCACCTCATTTCTCCTCTGATATTTTCAACACCAGGTTCCTATTGCTGATTTTCTTCATGGTTCTCCTCTGTGGAGCAGTGCTTTTCTGTCTCCAATGTTGGCTGAAAAGGTGCCGATTTGATCCACCCAGACGCACCATGGCTGTTTTTGCTGTTGAAGACTTGGATTCAATATATGGTGAGTTATTGGTATACTTCCGGATTCCTCTACGAAACCTTGAAAAAGCATCATTGCAAAGCAGATGTACACATAACTATTGGGAGACCCAAAAGCATGTATTGAACAGAGAGGATACAAAATTAGTCTGCAGAAGAAAAGACCCACAGAAAGACCCACAGACGCCTGGCAGAGAATAGTGAATGAGGCTAAGCAGTTTGTTCAATCAACCAATGAATAGAAGTGTGCAGAGGTGACTATTCCAAATGAGCAGGAAGGCTTACGGTCCAGAAAAGAAGCTCTTGGCTTTGATGTGACTCTATTCCTACCCTATAGCTAGTCTTAATTACTAAGCCTTTGCCAGCTCATTTAACTCATCTGAAGTTACACTGAACCATATTTTATGAAGTAACAGTTGCCAATGTCAAGTCTGAAACCACTAGTATTGGGCACAAGAAATTCAATTCTGATGTTCTTTCTCTGTAGAAACACCAAGGAATCCTGATTCTGCCAGCACCCATCCTATCTGTCCAAAATCATGGCCTGCCCATCATTTTCCAATTTTCACACGGGGTTAAAAAAAATGGAAAAAAAGTTATTTGCAGCAGCCAGTCTTATCTGTAAGGAGAATGAAAAACACCTATCACTTCACTTTTTCTTGGTGTTTATAATTGGGTATCATTTCTTCACCCTTAAGCATTGTCTTTTCATTCAGAGATGGTGAGATTTTTCCCTCCTAGATTTTACTTTATCACACAGTTGCCCAGAGAGTTCTTGATAAAAATTAACCTGGCTACCTTTCAGAAACATGGGCCAGTGTGGAACTCTCAATATATAAAACAGAAAATCAGCCAAGTAAGTTAAAGAAATAAAAAACAAATAAACAAAACAACCACAACAAAAGCTAAGAAGTGTAGCTTGCATGTGTAGTATTCTTAAGGGTCTATAATGTTCAGCTACAAAAGGGACATCCATATCAACCTCCACACAACATTCAGGGACCGTTGCAGAAGAGAGGTCCAGAAAATTGTAAAAGCCAGAGGCTAGGGAGATCTGGAACAACACAGTGTCTTCAGGGCATGACAGGATGGCTGCATTCATGAACTGGGAACAGCTATGGCTGACTGCAAAAGAACAAGCCAGTCAACATTCCAGCATGGAGAGGGGAGCGATATACCTTACCTCATTCCTAGCTGAGGAGCTTTTGGTAATTAATGGTTCCTGAGGGTAGTAGAGCAAATTTCCTTCCAAGTGTGGCCCCTGGTCACAGGGATGTGGTAGGTCAACCACGCTCCAGTGAATGGACCCTACAGGGGGGGGGGGGGCAGCACAAGTGGGACTGAGGAGACAGGAAGTTCTTCTGAGCAGTTGGGGAGGTAGGGATGGGCCTGGAACTGGCTGGGGAGGTGGATATGAATCTTGGAATGGTCTGGCCTGGGGAGGGGAGGTTGACCTAAGAATAGTTTCCAGAAAGGATTGGAGTAATTATGATCATGAATGAATGAATCATCAATGAAAATCTCAAATATATATATATGAAAAATATTTAGTGATTCTTTTTTTCTATATGCTTCCTATCCTGAAGTCATTACTTAAACAAGGATAAGAAACTACCTATTTGAGACATTATTGTTTGGAAAAGGATAATTAAATTCTACAATAACAAATAGATCTCTCTTCTAAAATAAAAATCGCTTTTCATGTAGCATCCAGGAAATTACGGTCACTAAATCTAGCAAACTGTTTGTCAAAGGGATATGCATGGAAATATTGACCTGTTTCTTTTTTTTATTTAAATAGGGCTAGTTAAAAAAATGTAATTTTTTTTCTTCCAAGTAAACTTTTATTTCTAAAGATCATGTGGCCTTATTTTCTTGGCCCTTCCCTCTCTCTGAGGAAAACTCTTCCATTAGGCTGCCTTAAATCTTAAGAAAAGTTTCTATATCTTAAATATCATACTGCCTGACTATTCAGTTACAATTTTTTTCAGGAGCACTGTTGTAGGTGTGAATATATAATATTTTCCTCTTTGCTGCACTGTGGTTCACTGCTATTGAACTTGCCTGACCAATCTCAGAGTGGAAAAACAAAACAAAACCCAAAACATTAACTCTAACACTTTGCTTTACTAATCTGCATAGATGACCCTAATGCCTGGGTCTTAGAATTACAACCTCTGAATGAGCTGAAGTCATTGTAAACATAGATATAAATAAATAAATAAATAAATAAATAAATAAATAAATAAATAAATAAATAAATGCCAGAAAGAAGTTTAGTTCTAAAAAAGCTAATGTTTACTTCAGATCTACCAAACCCTAAGCAATAATTTGAGACTTTTTCAGATCTTTATTTCATAAATATCAACTTCAGAATGTGATCATCGGAGGATATTTATTCTCTTAGAGGTTATCCGCTCTTCTCTCTCTCCCCTAGCTAGTATGTCAAACAGACCTTTGCTATGAAATGGGGTAGATACCTGTTATAATTAGATGTGACTGCTCGTATCCTCGCCACCTCATCCCATGCTACAAAATACCACTTGTGAACATTCAGATATTTACACACACATGCACACACACACACACCCTGGTAGGGATTGCATTCTAGGATCTTAATTTCTGTCATTTTCCATCCTTTCTCACAAGCCCCGTTTTAAAGCACCTGGTTCTTACTTTTTAAGAAATACTCAAACTCTCAGGCAGCGCTCTTTCATTGCTGTGTAGCTCGGAGGGCATAGGCTAAACTGCCTCTTCTCAGTTGTCGTTCTCTTGGTCCCACCTTCCTCTGCATCTCTCCCTGACTGTCTGGGCATGCTCACCTTGCTGAGAAGGCAGTCTGTGCTGCAAATGTTGACCTAGGGGCCTGCCTTTTGGCATTCTTATTTCTCCTTGCCAGCACAAAACACAGAAGAGGAATTTGGACAGTGGCATTCTCTGTCATCCTAGGGAGTGCCAACTGGTAATTTCAGGAAGTGAATTCCAGAGAATCAATATTTTGGGACAATTTGCAGCCTGGGCCCACACTGTATTTACATACTAGATGAGACTTTTAATATTATATTTTCACACTCTCAGCACAACTGTTTCCTTTCTAAGTATTACTGTGCCAGAAAATGAGAGCCCTCCCTGATCTTTTAATTCCTGAAAGATCCAGTGAGGACCAAACCAAATGTATCTACCTCCACATCTCCTACAAAGTGTGTGCTCACAGCCTGAGCAAAGCCACTGAGCGATTCATGGGCCTACTCCAAGTACGGGGGTATGTTTTTGAGTTTTTCACACATCCACTATTAAGAAGGGGGAATAAATAAATACAAATCACTTGACTGACATTGATGAGCTGCTATAGTACAGAAGAGGGTCCTGGACTCCCCGCCACTTCTGACACACAGAGAATGTTGTTCTACCCCGGACACAGGATGTGGGAAGTAGGCCATTGGAAGCCTCTTAATGGATGCAGTACACTTGATGTATTAACCTTTGGTTCCTCTTGGACCTTTATTTTATTTCTTCAAAAGTTATTTCACTTTAATATCACTACTTATTGCATATATTAATTTAAATTGCTCTGTTATTTTGACATAAGGGTCAGAGATTTGACACTCAGAATCTCACGAACATTGCCCTGAAAAGCGAAAAGGGAAAAAGAAAATTTTGACTGATTATTAAAGGCTAGAACTGACTGAACTTTACTATTCCTAAAATATATAAAGCGGGCAATTTTATATATATAGCATTTGCTGCCAATATTACATTGCTTGGGTTGCCAATTTGTTAGATTAGAAATACTAAAGAGAAAAAACAAGTAGACACAGCGCTCTGCATTCTTATACAGCACACTGAAGAAGGCATTGCCAGCACAGTCCCTAGCAATGTCTGATGAGCTATCACCTCTGAGAAAGGGCCCTGGGATCTCAGCCAAACACACGAGACCTGAAGAGAATCTCTTGGTCCAGTGATGGCATCTTTTCACAGTACTGTGCTGACTCAGCACTCAGATAAATGGATCCTACTTCCTAGGAGCTAAGCTCTTGAATCAGGTAGGTATCCTAGAGTCAGAAGACTTCCTACGTAGCCATTGGATCCGATAGAAGAGACCTTGACATTTATCACACTCAATCTTTCCTCCTGTATCTGTGCTTGCTATATGGAGTTCCACAGGAGGGGGAGAAATAACCTCTCAAACACACCTTGCCATGGGCCACGTTGTGAATTCATCTTATCAAGTCCAACTAGTTAGTATCCCTGTATATGGAAGTACTTGAAGATACAGCCTTTGGAAAGCCAATTCAATAAATATTGTGTAACCAGTGTGGATCTTAATCCAGTCTGACTGCTATTGCTCAAAGGAAGATTAGCACCCAGACAGGACAGAGGCATGATGTTGTGAAGACACAAGGCAAAGATGGCCATCTGCAAGCTGCAGAGGGAGGTCTCAGAAGACAGGAGCCCTGCTGACTCTTGACCTTGAATATCTCCTCTAGAGTCATTAGGGGAAAAAAAATCTACTGACAAAGCCAGTACCAGCTTGTGGTACTTTGCTATGGCAGCCTTAACATACAGACCTCATATAAGAACAGAAGGAATAAGAAGTCCAGGAACTAAGGAACTAGGAGATGAAGAGCAAGAATCTTAGTTTGATATTGGAGATGCATAAAGAGCTCATGGGCATGGAGTCATTTCATAGAGACTTTAAACCATCCCTTTCTGTTGTGCTATGGGCACACCTCCTGATCCTCATCCAGCCACAGAATGACAGTTTTTCCTTCCTTCATCATCTTCATCCCTACACTACACTGTCTTCTGTGTCCAGTTCTGCATTATCATGTCTTTTACAACCCACAGCAACATCCACTTAGCCCCCTTAGGTTTTCCTAAGTGTGATCGGCTGTGAGCCAACATCTCACTTGCTCCTGCTCCTTTCTCTCATGCCTTAATCTTAGAGTTATTTGACTGTTTTTTCTTTTCCTATCGCTTGAATTAAGAATGAAATGATACCTTACTTGAACTTGTTGTCAACTTCAGGTTGTTACCTATTATTTTAATAATGTTCTGGGGAGGCAGGGTGCCTGTTGATAAATCAACAGAAACTGCAGAAGATCTGCAGCTGGTTAGTTTTCTCCATCCCCCTTCCCCAATTGTGTCCAGATAAAGATTGATAATGAGAACATACAGTGAGCCTCTTCTTAGACGAATCTATGCAAGTTTTAGCTGATGTTAGGCTAAGACTCTCCATCATTGTGATTATTATATTCCACTATGCAAAGTGAGGCCTATAAAACAATGAAATAGATACTGCAGTGATTTCAAAATTAAAATATACATGTATAAATTAAAGAATTTTAGGTTGTTAGATTGTTTTAGTTTGTATTTGACAGCTAATGTCGAGTGATTTTTACAATGTATCATCAATAAAAATAATTAATTCACAAAAATAAGGGCAACCTTGTGATCTCGTGGAAAATAAGGTTGTAAATCTGAAAAGCAGAATAGAAGCCCATTTGTATGAGGAAGTAAGCATTTAAGGATATGAAGGGAAATAAATTGGAGGTTTGGAAGGTGAATGGAAGGCAGGTAAGGCTGGAGGTAAGTGACCTAGCATTCATTAAAAGAGAGCTGAAGAGATAACTCCATGTTTGTCTACACTTCAATAAGCAATACAATCTACTGTGACACCTGTGCAGCTGTCTGCCCACCCTCATCCCACTGGTCCCTGATAAGACCTCTGTCTCTCCTCCATCCAAGGGATGTTCACTCTGTCTTAGCCTCCCAGGGATTACAACCCAGGAAAGCTGCCTTCCAGCTATGTAGTCTCTAATCTCATTTTTTTTCCTGAAATTTCACAGATAATTTTCTATTTTTCTTTTTTCAGAAGGAAAAAAATTAAGTTCTGTTTTTTTGTTTGTTTGTTTGCCAGCAATGATTAAATGTGAGTGCTTTTAGTTGGGAGAGGAAAGAGGACTTCGAGAGGACAGAGACTAGAAGCAAGCCTTTACATATTCAACTCTTTCTCCTTATAGGTGGCTCAGGATTCTTTTATTACAGGATCTGTTATAGATTTTCTCTTTCTGGTTTATATTCTTCATGTAAATACCCTATGGCATCTTAGAAAGGGATAGAGAGCGGGCTTCATTCACATACTCTGTGGAACGAGCTGCTAATGGCAGATGATTCAGCATTTCCCAGGTGTGCATACCTCAGCTTTCACTTGTTATACCCAAGGGTTCTCTGAAAAAAAAAAATGTTGCTATCTTTGTCAATGCTCTGAAGAGGCAGAAGCAAAGCCATTCACAGAAGAAGCCTCACTCTTAGCGTATGATAGAACCATGGACCACATTCAGGCCTTCTGGCATTCTTCTGTGTGAGGAGGGACCGATGGAGAAGGGAAGTAAGACCAAGAATGATGATTCCTATCTGTAATCCCAGCACTCGGGACAACTGCAGGTTCCAGCTGCTGCTGGACTACCTAAGTACAAAGCCATAGTGAGACTTCTTCCTTCATCCTTTCCCGATGCTCCAGTGAGAGGTGCGAAAAGACAGAGGTAGAAAACGGAGGCTAAAGTAAGTCAATCTGTTGGAATTATTATCAATCATATACAAAATCTGGACTATAATTATAAAAACTCAGTGACAAATGTGTGGGTTTTACAAAATCAAATAATAAATGCTCCTTCTACCAACAATTTTCTGGCAAAACCATCTGGTTTTCCCAATATGTTTAAACTGCATTAACTTGTTAAAAGATAAACATAAGACTGACAAGGTGGCTTGGTTGGGTAAAGGCAGTTGTTAAAGAGCCTGAGGATCCGATTTTAATCCCCAGAATCCATTTGATGGGAGGGGAAGACCGACTCTAGCAAATTGCGCTCTGACCTCCATGTATGCCCTATAAACAAACAAACAAACAACCCTCCTGCTCTGTCCACTCCTAACCACAGGAATTTGTATATAAACATTCTCTGCAAAGAGATAGCAACTGGTCTATCTTCAGTTTCCAAGACTTCTAAGACCATTGGTTTAATTAGTTTATCAATAAAACACCTATGGTTTTCATAGCAACCATAAAAGCGACAGGCACATTTGCAGTAAACAGGTAATATTTCCCCACCACAGGGACCAAATGTCAGAATCATATCACCCAGATCACAATATTGATGTCAGCAGGAGAAATCAATTAAAACGAACATAAACAATAAGTGTCTCAAGCCAGTGGCCAAACGTTCCCAGGCAGTAGGCTAAGTTCCTGCTGAATTTGCGCTGACTACATCAGCAGCAGTCTGCCTGGAAAATAGCTACCGTTCTTTGCACCAGTTCTGAATGGAGGTAATTACTGAGGTGAGGAGATTGTATAAAATCAGCCTTGACTCTGCTTGATGCCATACTCCAGCTTATCTGACCTCAGTCCAAGCTTATGCACTTCGAAAGGTTTTACCTCACTATGCTTGTAGTTACTGATTTTTGTCATATTTAATAATGATGATGATGATGATGTAAATCATTATATAACCATTAAAGTTGAACTGATAAGAAGACGATGTTACAGACTTAAATTGTTACATGTTCCTAACATGGCACCGTAGTTGATGCTATGTGAAAGCAGTAACCCTTTACTGTATCCCTGGCTCATTTTAAACACCATATATGCATTAAGTTTACCTATGTTTTCTTTCTTCAGAAAGAAGAAACTTTTTCTAAGTTTCTTTCTTCAGACAATTAATGTTCCATCTACAGAAATAGATACCATTCTTATTCTATTGCTGAAGAAGAGTGAGTTAAGTAAATATAATAATTGCATAGGGGTGGATTAGTCCATTAAAACTTCATTTCAAGAAAACATCAGAGCAAGAAGTGAAACATATTTAGTATTTCAGTCTTTCACATATAGTGGTAATAATTGTGTTATTATGGTTTATTCTGAGGACCAGCAAGATAAGAAATAAAGCAAATACATATTACTGAAAACTCAATTCTAAGTTGTCATAATTCACATAAAGTAATCATATGTATTCCAGCAGTGAGCCAATTCTGCTGGTAACTATGGCATGATTTTGTAGTTTTCTGGATGCTACCCAGTCTGAGGCCCTAAGGAAGATGAGTGGAGATGTCCTCTTCTGTGAGAGGACAGAGAGAAAGAACATTGAGTGTGTAGCCGGTACCACTTCTAGCAGGCCTGATGACCCTGCCATTACACTTCAGGAGCACACATAATCAATACGTAAATATGTGGGAATGCTTGTGTTTCAGTTCAAATTAATATATAAAAATGTCAATGTAATTCAGAGTTAAACAAATACCCAGGATAAAAAGAATAAGTATGCAAAAAGAGAAGGCTATAAAATGTTACTATTGATTTTTCCAGTGACTCAAAAATAGCCCTTCAAGGAAATACTGATTTCCAAAAGAGCCACTGGAAATAATTCAAGGTCTCTCAAGGTTACCACTTTGTGAAAGCAAATACTTGCTTAATGGCTGTATTGTACATAATCTAGATGAGAGAACATCAATTTGAAAGTTTTTTTTTAAATTTAGAATTCCAGTCTTTATTATGTGTGCTTTTTAAGTGCAAACTTCTCACCACCTATCTCAACATGCTTATTACTTATAATAATTATAAGAGAACACTGAGCTATTTTATATTTGTTGCATTTTGAGAACCTAAACGTAACACAGTGAAGTTTAGTAATAGTCCAATTTCTTTATGAGACTCGGGTTTTCCTAGGATGAGACCATTAGCAAAAACAGCATTAATATTTACCGGAATTATCTTCATGGGCCCTAGCACAGAACGTTTCCTTCTGGTTTCAGCTCCTGTGTTGTGAGGACTTCCATAAGAGTAAGTCGGTAACGGTGTGGGCAGGTCATTCTGGGGAGTTTTCTCCTTAGAGACTTAGCTATCACTGTGCTGAAACAAGGGGCTGCAAATGTTTTTCTCAGGCGCACAGATAAATTTCTGTTGCTCCAATGATCCCAGAAAGGACAGATTTCATCTCCTCTGTGTACTGCCTGTATGCTCACCTGAGAGATGACCCCCTCCCTATTTTTTTCTAGGTACAGAAATGATTGGCAGTTCAACAGCTGGCACCTGCTTTCCTGCTCAGAACACTGAACTGTTCCCTGCTCCGTGTTTTGGTGCATTAGGTCCTCCACCTCCATATGAAGAAATTCTAAAAACAAACTGATTTTAGCCAGAATCAATATTATAATGCGTTAGAGATATTTGCAAATACGGTCCATTTTAGGTACAATTACTTGACTTAGTGGAAATTCCTGGAGACCTACTACAGAGTCAGAACACTTCCAAGCAGGTGAAAGAGTGGTTGGCAGGAAAAAAAAGAATTGACTCAAGTGAGGTTTTAATAGTCACTTAGTAGACTCTACAGCACTGCCTTGTTACAGTGTTTAACTAGGCGTCATTAACATTTTAGTTCTTAAGGTGGTGGAAGTAGGTGCTAGATTCATTTGTGTCAGCTTAGCCTCCCACTGTCTTCCACATCATGTTATTTGATGCCCCAACACCTCCAGCTTCATCCAGCCTCTAATAGAGAGGCAGTATAAAATAAATAATTTAACAGCGGCTCAGGCATAGATTCAGGTGTGACTAGAGGAAGAGTATTTGAGCCAAAGCTGAAATGAGAGAACGAGAAGAAAATTCTGTTTGAAATTGACAGAGGAAAACAAATGAAAGGGGAGATTACAAATTTCATTCCCCAGTCGGAGAACAGAGAAAGGGTACCCGGAGGCAGAAGACAGCTTAAGAAGTAAACCATAGGAAACGGTGATATATGGAGAGAGAGGGGAAGGATCTCACTGTCCTTACTGAACCCAGTCTTTTCCTGGTCTCTCAGGATTCGTATTTTTTTTTACAACATAACAAGAAAGTTTGTTCTAGATGCCTTTTTCTGCTTGAAGACTGACTGGAAAAGGAGGAATGAGAGATTTCCAAGCACCGTTTGGCAGGGGCAGAGGCAGGGCAGGACGATCCACACCAGATTCCACACTAGCTGCCTACAGCTGGCGAGTTTGCTTCGTAACATCATTGACGTATCCACCTGACTGTCAAATTCACGTAACTAAACCTCACTCCAGTCTTGTCTCAGCTCCATTACCAAAGTGTTTCCAGCCCTCCTGTAGCTCAGCCAGCAACGTGTGCCTCCTGTCTTCTCACTTCATATAACTATGTCATCCAAAATTGTTGTTGAGCCTGCTTTCAGAATTCCCAGCCTCTGAAGGTTTCCTGAGATAGCTCGGGTATGACCCAGCACTGTGAGTCCTTGCTGGAGTCCTACATTAGCTCTAAGCTAGGCCCACTTTAGTTCTCAGGTATTCTATTGACATCATAGTAGGCAGGAAAAGTCTTTCAAAGTTGTAGAATGCTTTTAGATTTGCATAAATACTGAGGAGAACATGGAGACATTTTCCATATTCCCTGTTCCCATACACATACAGGATCTCATAGTATTTTACCCGTCACGGGATGTTATGCCCTTCACCTGATAAACCCACTTTGACACGTCATCATCACTCAATATAGTGTTGCACATTTTATGGCTTTGGTGGATTTGTTATGGCATCAGATACCACCACTGTGGTAACTTACAGTTTTACTGTCATGAGAATCCCTGTGTTCCACTTAACCAAGTTCCTGGCCACCAGTGATCTTTTCATTGTTTCCCCTGTTTTGCATTTTCCAGCAGAACAGTCATTTGAAATCACACAATTGTAGGCTTTTGAGCTTGGCTCCTTGGACTTTTAAAGATGTATGTAAATTTCTTCTGTATAAGTTTCTTCGTAGCTTGATAGCTCATTTCTTTTCAGTGCTGAGGAGTATGCCATTGTCTAGAAGTGCCAATGTTTAAGTATGTATTCATAATTAAGTATGTATTCGCATCGTTTCTTGATATGAAGAGTGATCTCTTACAACTTTAGCAATACTCTCCTGATACTGCAACTTAGTTGAGAAAAGGTCAAAAACCTTGGCATGTAGCTCCATGAGATCTGACACTATTTTACTTTTCCTTCCTTTAGATGTTCTGTTCTGAATGCTATGGTGTATTAATCTATTCATTTGTGCCTTTAGGCCAGAGGTTCTTACCTTGGAGTCACCTGAAACCGTTGGAAAACACAGATATTTACACTATGATTCATAACAGTAGCAAAATTACAGTTATGAAGTAGCAACTAAAATAATTTTATTGTTGGTGGTCACCACAATGTGAGGAAGTGTATTAGAGGGTCACATTAGAATGGCTGAGAATCACTGCTTTAAGCTCTAATACTTTCCTCAACCACCCCAATACACCAAAATCGCGACAACCCCCTCAACTTCTTTTGTCTTTTAGAAAAACATCACCCTCTCAATAGAAGCCATTTTAATTACCCTACTTTAAACTGCAGCCACTTCCTCCCTAAGCAAACCCCCATCTCTTCATCTGAGATACATTTTAGTTTTCAGTAGCATTTAAGTATATCAACTGCCTGTACTAATAGCATCAGATTGTATGTTCCTCATTGTCTCGTGAGCTGGCTCTTCCTAACCTCAAGCTGCACATGATAGCATGGATATGCCCTCCTTTCAGAAAGCCATTATCATTTCAGTGAGGTGTAAAAAATGCACTTAAGCATTTAAATCAAAAGAAAAGTAATAGTAGTGACAAAATGATGGAGGAGCCTCAGCCACAAGATGGTGGTACCTGAAAGGAAGAAAGAGGAGTTTAGAACTGTCCTCAGAGCTGACTGAGGTTTCCTCATTGCTCCGCTTGCTGAGTGCCTTCAGAGAAGGAACAGAGAGCAGGCGAGCAACTCTAAGCTGAAACCACTCAGAGGCACCGAGGTCAGGAGTGTGGAGCTCATCCACACTTGTCAGGGGAATATTAATTAATTCATATAACTAAGGGATGCAGCATTGCAACCAGCCAGAGCAGAGTCACTCCAGTGAAGACATGCATGGCAACAGCAACAAGGGTCTCGGAGGAGTGATACAGAGGGAAATAGGATGCAAAGCTGTCCATATGCAGCCGATTGAAAGGAAAAAAAATGGAAATAAACAAAAAATAAGAGCAACTATTAAAATCACGAAAGCCAGAAACTGAATTAACTAAAATATGATTAAGCTGTGACTAATCTATAATGCTACTGTTTTAAAAGGATTAACTATAAATAAGTAACTGATATTGCTTAGAAAAATCAGAATTGTTAGCATTTTAAAGTCTGATGCCAAGTGAAGGCAGGAGATTACATGTGAAATAAGGTGGCAGGCTAATAAATCTAGACCTAAGCCCGGGTCTCAAGTGGGAGAAAGAAAGTGAATGTAGGATGAAAGCATTCAAGTACATTCAAGCCACTGGAGTCTCAAACAAAACACTGAGAAAGGAAAACTGTTGTTTCTAGAAATGGGATTCCAATGAAATGCTGTGCGGGATAACCCAGAACAGAGTACTGACTTGTTTTAATCTCTGGTCTTATTTTACTTAAGTGGATATGCCACTTTACTGACATACAGTTAAGCAACTAGATGTCTTGGGAGTGAAAACTCACAGTTTTAAGCCCACAGAGGGATTCAGAATATAACAAAACATAAAATGTTAAGTGAGCTTAGGAGACAAGATTAGAGGTGGTTTCATCTTTTACACACACTTCAGGACTGTCTCAGAGTTCGATTATCTGTATAATTACTTATTTCCCTGAAAATCTTGAGTAGATATGATTGTATATGCTTGTAAATCGGACACTGAGGAATCAAAGTCAGGACTACAAACTGAAGATCTGAGGCCAGCCTGGACTATATACTGAACTGTCTAAAAAAAAATGTAAGGGGACAAAAGAAGAAGAGAGAAAAGAAAAGCTCAGAGTTCTCTTTTACGTGTCTGGAAAGATGGGCATGGTACAAACTCTGCTTTGATTACTGTACATTATCCATGAGTTAGTAATTTCTGTACCTTTTGAATGTGTACAATATCATGTATCAGCTACACATAATACACCAATGGGTCACTCCTTGAACCAGAGAATGTGAATAATAATTAAACTTATCTCAAGCAAATGATTTCAGCAGAAGAATTCTTATTTATATCCTATGGAATAAGCATCACAAAATACACTCCATGAGGGTTTCTGGCAGTGGGATTAATTCGTACTTAGTAAATAAACAGTGGCAGGATCTAGAAACGGGGATGATGCGTCAGCAGCTAGATTTTGTCTAAGAGCAAACACCAGAGCTGAAGTTATTAGGATCTCATGCAAAGCTACTTGGGCATATGCCTCAATTCAAGTGTCATCAAAATATACATTGGGTATACAGTTGGTTGGACTTGTATATTGTTGGTTAGACAAAGGGAGAAAGTATGAGTCTAGAGTATACACAGGTAGGTTGAGGTGGAAGAAAAAAAAGTTTATTTTTCCAGAATATTTTTTTTCTTTCCAGTAAAGATCTCTCAACAAATACTGTCTGCCATTTTCATTTGATGTTTAACAGACCTGATGTCTGTATGTGTGAGGCCTCATAGCTTCTCCAAGTATATCTGCAGCAAATGTTACTACTTGTGTTTAATCGTAATAATGAGATTTCAAGGAACTTCCCCCTTTGAACAACATACGGTTAGTGGAAATTAAAATTACTCTAACTGCCAGATAGATACTCTCTACTATCCATTGAAAAGCTGTTTGGTTAAAATTATAATACTGGTTTAGATCTCATGGTTGTAATAACACTTAAAATGGGCATTTGAAAGACAGGCCCATTGCTTTTCTGTTGTCTTTAGAGTCTGTTCCTACAGATTTTGATTTCTTTCTTGATACCTTCTTAAAAATTCTATTCGACTGTCTTTCTCGGACTTTAATTTGAATGGGATTATATTTTTAGCCTTTCTTTTCACATTAAGGAATGTTTAGATTTTTCTTTCTGTTAAAGGGTGTAGCTCATTCCCTGTGTGTCCACCAGAGGGAGAAAACCAATGAATGTCACCCAACAATTAGGTAGATTTAATTTATGGGTAAATGAAGCCTGACGTTAGGTTGCCGTTGATGCCAAACTTTTAACGAGTCTGAGCAAAATGAATCAACAAGGAGGTTAAAATTTGCAAAGGTTGGGATAATGATGCAACGCACATTTAATGGAGCTCATATTTGATAAGAGGTGTTTGATACACTGAGAGATACTGAACTAAAATTGAGTATACATGTTTGCTTGGCAAGAGAGTAGGGAATTTGAAATACCCACCTTCAGAGGAGCAGGCTTAAAAGGTGAGGTTCTAGCATAGGCTAGCTAACCGAAATCTGTGCCGACCATGGCGTATGCAATAACCACCACCTAACACGATGCACCCATGCATTATTTACTCCACCACACATTCTCTCAATTTCCCATTCTTTAGTTTCATGTTTGTGCAATTTTGTGTTAGAAGCACAACTTTTTGTAGAAGATAACCTTAAAATTTAATATTTTTTCACTGACGTGAAATAGAGGTCTGCTCGGATAGCATTTGTGTGGACTGTGAAATGAAACTCACCTTGAATATCACATTAAAGCACAATGTGGAATCCTTTGAAAAAGCATAAGAGTAAAGGAAGCAATGAAAAATGTGCTGCTGTAAGACTCTAGTCTTGGTAGAGATTTTGTTTTTTAGATAAGAACAAAGAAAAGAAATAGAATATATGTTACAAGAGAAACTTTCACTTGGGAAATTAATTTTGCTCTGTGATTGTTAGTTATTAAAAAAGCATGAGGCTGGTCAACCGATATTCTCTGCAAGAGGTTTATTAGGAGGATATGGAGGGAGCGGGGAGCAGGACATGAAGAGAGAGAGAGAAAAGGGAAGGGGTACTGAGAGAGAGAGAGAGAGAGAAATAAGAGAGGAGAGTAAGAGAGATAGAGATAGAGAGAGTGTAAGAGAAGGACCACGTGTTGGGGTTGGCCCTTTAAGGGGCAAGGTAACCATGCCTTCCAGGTGTGGCCACCTGGCCTGAGACACATGATGACATCATAAGTTGCTGGGTAACCCAGGAGCAGGCTGTGTTCCAAAATACTAACAGTGATCACATGCAAAGGAACTATAGACAGGCATTTTAAAGAATTTCAGTATTGGCGTCTTGGTTAAATAGTATCGTTTTTAATGACATTTGATTAACTGCAATTCTTAAAAAAAAGGTAATAAAATAGCAATCTTTACAAAATAGATTAGTTTCATGATAAACACAAAGTATTTATTTGTGCATTTGGAAAACAGTTCTTGCCCTAAGCCCCATTACATCGGTGGGCATGGTGACTTATACAGAACCGATGCCCATCAGTGAATATGTCAGGTCTTAGAATATCAAGCCAAAGCGTCACAATGTTCAGAATTACTGACCTCATCAATGCACGTAGGTTGCTTGTCTGTACATATTTGTTGGGAAGGTCTTACTCTGAAAATCTCTTTAGAGGCAATAAAAAGCAAATCCATATAATTTTATCTGCTCTCATAACTAACATCTACTTATACTTAATAAATAGTGGTGCTGGTGTTTTCATTTCTTCCTTCTCTAGTAGGAACATGGGTATACATCTCCAAATAAATTTATAATGTGGAAGGTCTTAGCTAATACTGACTAACTCCCTTCTACATTTAGATCTATAGTTAGTGTGTCCCATTGCAAGACCTTGAGAGATAAAATCTAAGAAAGCCCAGGAATTCATTAGAAATAATTAATGGATGACTGTATATTTACCTGGTATCTGTGTGGCGATTGCCATCGTAGTGAATAACAAAATATACTACTGCTCTATGAAGCAACCTGGGTTAGGAGTCGAGGGCCAAAACTAGATATCTCTATAGTAGTAGTTTTGTTGTTTTAAGAATAGTATACAGTTGAGAGTAAGACTTCAGTGATTTGACAAAGGGGGGGAACTATCATCCACAGACACACTGGGTTAACAATAGATGGTTGTTGATAAGGGTAGGTCTGGATACTGCCTGCAGACTTGAGGGCAGGTCTAAGTGTGTAAGTCTTTCAGTTTGTTTATACTAGATGACCAGTGGACAATAGGGACGGATAGATAGATAGATAGATAGATAGATAGATAGATAGATAGATAGACGGATGATAAAGAAGTTATTAATGGCAGACGTGTATAAATGTATAGGATATGTATTTGTTGTTGTTTTGTTTTATTGTGAAGACAGCAAGAGTCACCTCAGAGCAGACATAATGTGATGTCTGTACTTGGGTGTTAGCCCTTCCATTTTCACTCCCCAACGAGGAATAAAATCTTTTAGGTATTAAATTTTTCTTCATGCAATATATTTTGATCTTGGTCCCTTCTCCTGATTCCTCCTAGACCCTCCCCACCTCTTCCCATCCAACTTCATGATCTCTCCTCTCTCTTTCCGTTCTCGCTTTGTCCCCAAAGGTAGAAAAAAGAAAAAAAAAAAAAGAAAAGCAAACGGAAAACAATAAGACAAAAATATCAAAACAGAACAAAAGTATGAGCAAAAACCAGAGTCCATTGTGTGTTGGCCCACAACGCCTGAGCATGGGGCCTGCGGGGAGTATAACTGTCTATCACCTGGTGTCACTCCATTGGAGAAAACTGATATTCTCTTCCAAAGCAGTTTTCAATTGCAAATAGCTTCTTTGTTAGGGATGTAACTTTGTGACAGCCTCCTCTTCAAGGTGCAGGACTCCTAACTGGTTTGACCCTGGGCAGGTCTTACACAGGCAACCACAGTCTCTGTGAGATCAGTCCTGTTGTATCTTGAAGACGCTGTTTCCTGAAGACGTCCACCACCTCTGGTTCTTACAATGTTTCTGCATCCTCTTCTGCACAGATCCCTAGTTTCCCCCACCTTTATTCTGACAGTTTTCAGCACATTTCACTTTCCACTGTATAAACTAAGTTGGCTGTGTCTCACTTCAGTTAAGTCACAGAGATCAAAAGTGCAACTTATCATTTGAATCCTATCAATTCCAAAGAACAGGCCATTCCATACAATGACAAGAGCACCTTTCAGATACCTGGATCAAAACAAACACTGAGAAAAAGTGATGTAAGGAACTGTTAAATGTTAGTACTAGTGCTCGCTTTGGCAGCACATATATACTAAAATTGGATTGATACAGAGAAGATTAGCATGGCCCCTGCGCAAGGATAACACGCAAATTCGTGAAGCATTCCATATTTTTTCTATGAAAAGACAAAATCTAAGAATAATAGGAATTGATGAAAAAGAAGACTCCAGGCTCCAAGGTCCAGAAAATATTTTCAAGAAAATCATAGAAGAAAAATTTTCCCAACTTAAAGAAAGAGATGTCCATAAATATACAAGAGGCCTACAGAACACCAAATAGACTAGACCAGAAAAGAAACACATCACGTCACATCATAGTTAAAACACTAAATCTACAGAACAAAGAAAAGATATTAAAAGCAGCAAGGGAAAAAGGCCAAGTAACATATGAAGGTAGACCTATCAGAATCACACCAGACTTCTCATCAGAAACTATGAAAGCCAGAAGGGCCTGGGCAAGCATCATGGAGACTCTAAGAGATCACAAATGTCAACCCAGACTACTATACCCTGCAAAGCTTTCAATCAACATAGATGGAGAAAACAAAATATTCCATGACAAAACTAAATTTACGCAATATCTATACAGCAAACCAACCCTACAGAAGATACTAGAAGGAAAACTCCAATCCAACGAAAACGAATTCACCCAAGAAAACAGGGCATACAGATAATATCCCAACAAAAAGGAAAAGAAAACAAGCATTGAAACAAGGTAAGATCATCGAATCCATTACAAAAGGAACTAACATGCATTGGTCAATATTATCTATCAATATTAATGGACTCAACTCACCAATAAAAAGACACAGGCTAACAGAATGGTTACGGAAACAGGACCCAACGTTCTGTTGCATCCAAGAAACACACCTATGCAACAAAGATAAACACTACCTCAGAGTAAAGGGCTGGAAAAATGTTTTTCAAGCAAATGGTTTCAGAAAACAAGCTGGAGTAGCCATCCTAATATCTAATAAAATAGACTTTCATCCGAAGTTAATCAAAAAAGATAAGGAGGGCCACTATATTCTCATCAAAGGAAAAATCCAACAAGAGGACATCACAATTTTGAATATCTATGCCCCAAATACAAGAGCACCTACATTCGTAAATGAAACAATATTAAACCTTAAATCATACATTGATCCTAATACCTTAATAGTGGGAGACTTCAACACCCCACTCTCATCAAGGGACAGATCAACCAGACAGACACCAAATAGGGAAATAAAAGCACTCACAGAATCCCTAAATCAAATGGACCTAATAGACGTCTACAGATCTTTTCACCCAAACTCAAAAGAGTACACCTTCTTTTCAGCACCACATGGAACCTTCTCCAAAATAGACCATATAGCTGGTCACAAAGCAAGCCTCAACAGATACAAAAGGATTGAAATAATCCCTTGTATACTATCTGACCACCATGGACTAAAGCTGGACATCAACAACAACAGAAACAACAAAAAGCCGACACGCACATGGAAACTGAACAACTTACTAGTCAATGACAGCTGGGTCAAGGAAGAAATAAAGAAAGAAATTAAAGACATTCTAGAATTCAATGAAAATGAAGGCACAACATACCCAAATTTATGGGACACATTGAAAGCAGTGCTCAGAGGAAAATTTATAGCACTAAGTGCCTACAAGAAGAAATCCGTAACATCACATACAAACAACTTAATGGCCCAACTAAAAAACCTAGAAAAAAAGAATCAGATACACCCAAGAGGAGCAGACGGCTGGAAATAATCAAACTAAGGGCAGAAATCAATCAATTAGAAACAAATAAAATTATCCAAAGAATCAATGAAACAAAAAGCTGGTTCTTTGAGAAAATCAACAAGATAGACAAACCCTTAGCCAAACTAACTAAAAAGCAGAGAGAAAGCATACAAATCAGCAAAATCAGAAAGGAAAATGGGGACATAACTACAGACACTGAGGAAATCCAAACGATTATTAGGTCATACTACAAAAGCCTATATGGCACAAAATTTGAAAATCTAAATGAAATGGATAACTTTCTTGACAGATTCCATCTACCAAAATTAAGTCAAGATCAGGTAGAAAGACTGAATAGCCCTATATCTCCCAAGGAAATTGAAGCAGTCATTAACAGTCTCCCCTCCAAAAAATGCCCTGGACCAGATGGCTTCTGCGCAGAATTCTACAAGACCTTCAAAGAAGTACTAACACCAATTCTCCTCAAACTATTCCACAAAATAGAAATAGAAGGAACACTACCAAACTCATTCTATGAAGCCATAGTCACTTTGATACCTAAACCACACAAAGATCCAACCAAAAAAGAGAACTTCAGACCTATCTCTCTTATGAACATTGATGCAAAAATACTCAATAAAATACTTGCAAACCGAATCCAAGAACACATCAAAGATATCATCCACCATGACCAAGTAGGCTTCATCCCAGGAATGCAAGGGTGGTTCAACATACGGAAATCCATCAATGTAATCCACCACATAAACAAAATGAAGGAGAAAAACCACATGATCATCTCCTTAGATGCTGAAAAAGCATTTGACAAAGTCCAACACCCATTTATGTTTAAAGTCTTGGAGAGATCAGGGATACAAGGCACATACCTAAAGATAGTAAAGGCAATATACAGCAAGCCTATAGCCAACATCAAACTCAATGGAGAGAAACTTAAATCAATCCCACTGAAATCAGGGACAAGACAAGGCTGCCCACTCTCTCCATATCTCTTTAACATTGTACTTGAAGTCCTAGCCAAAGCAATAAGACAACTAAAGGAGATCAAGGGGATTCAAATCGGAAAGGAAGAGGTCAAAGTGTCACTATTTGTAGATGATATGATAGTATACATGAGAGACCCCAAAGATTCAACCAGAGCACTTCTTTAGCTGATAAACACCTTCAGCAAAGTGGCAGGATACAAAATCAACTCAAAAAAAAAAAAATCAGAAGCCCTCTTGTATACCAAAGACAAAAAGGCTGAGAAAGAAATTAGGGAAACAACACCCTTCACAATAGCCACTAATAACATAAAGTACCTTGGTGTGACTCTAACCAAGCAAGTGAAAGACCTGTTTGAGAAAAACTTCAAGTCTTTGAAGAAAGAAATTGAAGAAGATCTCAGAAGATGGAAAGATCTCCCGTGCTCATGGATTGGTAGGATTAACATTGTGAAAATGGCCATCCTGCCAAAAGCAATCTACAGATTCAATGCAATTCCCATCAAAATACCAACTCGATTCTTTACAGACCTTGAAAAAAAAGATTCTCAGCTTCATATGGAGAAACAAAAAACCCAGAATCTCCAAAACGATCCTGTACAACAACAGATCATCTGGAGGTATCTCCATTCCCGATCTCAAGCTGTACTACAGGGCAACAGTAATAAAAACTGGATGGTATTGGCATAGAAACAGAAAGGAGGATCAATGGAATCGCATAGAAGACCCAGAAATAAACCCACACACCTATGAATACTCAATTTTTGACAAAGAAGCCAAATCCATTCAATGGAAAAAAGACAGCATCTTCAACAAATGGTGCTGGACCAACTGGATGTCTACATGCAGAAAAATGAAAATAGATCCATATTTATCACCCTGCACAAAACTAAAGTCCAAGTGGATCAAGGACCTCAACATAAAACCAGATACTCTAAATCAGTTGGAAAAAAAAGTGGGAAACAGCCTAGAACTCATTGGCACAGAAGACAACTTCCTAAACAGAACACCAACAGCACAGGCTCTAAGAGCAACAATCAATAAATGGGACCTCATGAAACTGAAAAGCTTCTGTAAAGCAAAAGACACTGTCATCAAAACAAATAGACAGCCTACAGATTGGGAAAGAATCTTCACCAACCCTTTATCTGACAGAGGGCTAATATCCAGTATATATAAAGAACTAAAGAAGCAGAAAAACAACAAACCAAGTAATCCACTTAAAAAATGGGGAACAGAGCTAAACAGAGAATTCTCGAAAGAGGAACATCGAATGGCAGAGAAACACTTAAAGAAATGCTCAACCTCATTAGCCATTAGGGAAATGCAAATCAAAACGACCCTGAGATTTCACCTTACACCCATCAGAATGGCCAAGATGAAAAATTCAAGTGATAGCACATGCTGGAGAGGTTGTGGAGAAAAGGGAACCCTCCTCCATTGCTGGTGGGAATGTAAACTGGTTCAACCACTTTGGAAGTCAATCTGGCGCTTTCTCAGACAACTAGGAGTAGTGCTACCTCAAGACCCAGCTATACCACTCCTAGGTATATACCCAAAATTTGCTCAAGTACACAACAAGGACATTTGTTCAACCATGTTCGTAGCAGCTTTATTTGTAATAGCCAGAACTTGGAAACAACCCAGATGTCCATCAACGGAGGAATGGATACAGAAATTGTGGTATTTTTACACAATGGAATACTACTCAGCAATCAAAAAGGAGGAAATCATGACATTTGCAGGCAAGTGGTGGGATCTAGAAAAGATCATTCTGAGTGAAGTATCCCAGAAGGAGAAAGACAAACTTGGTATTTACTCGCTTATATAGACCTATAAGATTTGATAAACATAATGAAATCTACACACCTAAAGAAGATATTCAAGAAAGTGGACACAGGCGAAGGTGATTAATCCTCATTTAGAAAGACAAATGGGATGTGCATTGAACTTATGACAGGAGTCTACCACAAAAGGCATCTGAAAGACTCTACCTAGCAGTGTTTCAAAGCAGACACTAAGACTCATAACCAAACCCTTGGCAGAGTGCAGGGAATCATATGAAAGAAGGGAAGTTAGTAAGCTATGGAAAGGATAGGAGCTCTACAAGGACCAAATATATCTGGGCACAGGGTCTTTTCTGAGACTGACACTCAACCAAGGACCATCTATGGATATAACCTAGAACTTCTGCTCGGATGTGGCCCGTGGTAGCTCAGTAACCAAGTAGTTTTCCAAAGTAAGGGGAACACGGACTATTTCTAACAGGATCTCAAGGGCAGGCTGTTTGAAGGAGGTCCTCCCCTATCAGTGCACTTGGAAAGGGGCAGGGAGGAGACCAGGGAGGGAGTGTGGGGTTGGGGAGGGAATGAGGGAGCGGGATACAGCT